CTCATGACTTAATCACCTCCTAAAGGCCCCAGCTCTTAACACTATCACACTGGAGATTAAGTTCCAACATTTAAATTTTGGAGGGACACCAACACTCAGACCTTAGCAAGACCCACTCCTAAGAAACTTTCCTCCTCTGAATTCATGTAACATTTACTTACCTCTCTTCAGATACCTAATTAAAACCCAAACTAAGCCCATGGTACATGCCAGTTACTCAGAAGGCTGAGGATCGCTTGAGTCCAAAAGTTTAAGGCTGCAGTACACTATAATCAGGCCTCTGAACAGCCACTACACTCCAGACTGGGCAACATCTAGTCTCTTTTAAAAAAAAAAAAAAAAAGGCAGCCAGGCATGGTGGCACACACCTGTAGGTAGACCCAACTACTCAAGAGACTGAGGAAGGAGGATGGCTTGAGCTCAGGAGCTCAATGTTACAGTAAGCTACGACTGCACCACTGTACTTCAGCCTGGGCAACGAAGCGAGACTGTCTCAAAAAAACAAAACAAAACAAAAAATTGAAGCACAGAGAGAGCAAGGGCTATATTCTTCATTTCTTTATACTCTGAACACCAATCACAATGCTACCCTAATGTACTTCTAACAAAGCAGATCATTTGAACAAGTAGTTTCAGAAGAAAGTTGTAGAAATAAGACTGCAGGAGATTAAACAGCTAATGAAATTAACCTACAAGGTGCCGGAAGGAACTTTTTGTGGTGATGGAATGTTCTATATTTTGACAGGGATATATGGATTACACAGATGTATGAACTTGTTCAAACTAACAGAATGGTATAAGATTTGTACATTTTACTATATACAAGTTTTGACTAAAAACAAGTAAACAAATTTATTAATAGGCATCGGGAAATGTCTAGGTGTAAAGTATACTTTGAAATACAACAAAAACAAAAGGATTGATGAATGGATAGACCGATAGATAGGCAATAAAGCAAATATAGCAAAATATGACTAACGATATAGGGATGGTAAGTATTTAGGTATGCAATGTACAAACAGTTCTTTCCACTTTTCTGTAATGAATGAAATGTTTCACTATAAAATCCTCCAGAAAGAAAGCAAACACTGGAAATGAAGGCTGTGAGAGGCTTGCGTACTTCCCAAGTTCATCAATTAAAGAAAAGGATTGACTTTAAAGGAAAAGAAGGTAAATGCGAAAGGAGAACAGGTATTCGGGTTGTGCCTCTTTTCTCTGCTTCTAATTTTAGATTGCCTATACAGACTAGTTCTGGCCTTGAGCACTTGTTCTTGCCTCTAAGGAAGCCCGAACTCACTAAGTTCCATTCATTCTAGCACAATCTCAATCTGTGGTATCTAGATCCTTTGTCTTGGGCTATAATAAGCTATTCCCTATTCTTTTTAACTAAGTTTATAATACCTCCTTAAATTGACCTTTAACTAACACCTCTGGCCAATCTAGCATAACATAAATAGTTTATCCTTTTTTTTTTTCTCCTGAGACAGAGTCTCACTCAGCCACCCAGGCTGGAATGCAGTGGCGCGATCTCGGCTCACTGAAAGCTCCAACTCCCAGGTTCACACCATTCTCCTGCCTCAGCCTCCCAAGTAGCTAGGACTACAGGCACCCGCCACCATGCCTGACTAATTTTTTGTATTTTTTTTTTTCAGTAGAGATGGGGTTTCACCATGTTAGCCAGGATGCTCTCGATCTCCTGACCTCGTGATCCGCCCGCCGCCGCCTCCCAAAGTGCTGGGATTACAGGTGTCAGGCACCGCGCCCAGCCAATAGTTTATCCTCTTGACCCAACTCTACCCTCTCACACCCAAGACCCACCATAGCAAGGCAATGTTAATTTGTTTTAAGGGTCCTTGCAGCAAGGACATTTCATCCCTGTGTCACAGATCCTGAGTACGCGGCACAGAAATCCTCAAAAAAATGTTTGCTGGATGAATGAAATTCATACCTAAAAATGCAATAACTACACTTACATAGCACTTAGTTTCATATTTACAACTATACTATACAGAGGGTAGGAAATGTACATGTTAGGTTTCTGAAGCTGAATATTTTTAAAGGGACTAATGAGAGCCTCTTCTGTGGAGCATTAACTAGAAGATGGAGGTTGGAATGAAAGGTTGATAAGTTCTTTTAACCAACACTAAGAAACAACTACACTGTATTAATGCTCTCCTGGAAAATACAGTATGTCATCAGCTTCAAAATACCATATGCATTAACTAAAGGGGAGAAGATAAATTATGCAAAGATAAGAACTGACAGGAATTCAATTTCCAGATGACCTAAATGCATTTCAAGTTAATCTGCTCTTTTTTGTTTTTGTTGCCTCCAAAGGACTGCAGATTATGCACTTGCTGAATTTTGCCTTTGTCACACATGACCTAACAAGGAAGGCATTCATCATACCATAGTAGCTTCCCTCAAGTATCTGGTTCTAAACAGCTGCAAATTTTGGAAGATAAAACTAAATGATGTCTCTAAAGATAAGTATGTTCTCTCCCAAACAAATACTAAAACAAGATTAAAATTTACTGGAATATAAAAACTGTCAAATTAAGCTAGCTGAACATCAATTAAGTTTAAAAAATAAAGTAAAAATTTTATAAGAATTTAAATCCTAAATGTTAATAAATTGATCCAATAAACATATCCTGAGGAATTTCTACAATACAGCACTCTCATTCTTGACACTTGCTTTTATCCATCAGAAAGATGCCACATAACAAATGACTGTTTAATTTAGTGCCTTCAAATTACATAAGTGAATGACTTAAAATAATAAACCAATCTCAAAATTAATTTCCATAAAACCATCTATATGAAGTAAAAGCTGCTTCCCAGACCCAAAACTGGAAAGCATGGGTGAAAAATATCCTGCCAAAAATAGAAACAGACTGTAAAAATGTTTCACACGAGTTATGGCTTGTTAGATAACTGCACAACAACACTCACTAGCTGACTTTTTAAATATCTGTCATTGTTCCTCAGTCACATCAGTATGCCCTACGACATGTATTCTTCACCTATTAACTCATTTTCCATGAGGAAAAAGTAAAACTTCGCAATTGCTAAGCAAAACAGAGGGGAAAAAAGCACTGCCAAAGAGCAGGTGTCTCCTTATCAGCTGTAGGTCTTTCTGGTTTAGTCTGACTTTCATCCTTTCCCGTTAATACTAGTACACCTGGCCGGGAACAGTGGCTCACACCTGTAATCCCAGCACTTTGGGAGGCTGAGGTGTGCGGATCACGAGGTCAGGAGTTCACAACCAGCCTGGCCAACACAGTAAACCTAAATACAAAAATTAGCTGGAAATGGTGGCATGCGCCTATAGTCCCAGCTACTTGGGAGGCTGAGCCAGGAGAATCGCCAGAACCCGGGAGGCAGAGGTTGCAGTGAGCCGAGATCGCGCCACTGCACTCCAGCCTGGGCGACAGAGCGAGACTCCGTTTCAAAACAAACAAACAAACAAACGAGTACACCTAACTTACACAGAGCCATGTAGCCGGCCCCAGAATGGCTACCACTTGGGAAAAACACATGCAAGTGTCCATTTTGGACCCCCTTCAGTTGCATTACATAGTATCTTGCCAAGATTCTTTCATCTTCAAGAGAAGGTTGACTAACTCTCAATATCAGCAGTTTCATACTAATTCAGGTGCCTCTCAAGTCTCTGGTTATCCAAAGGCTCAAATTTGTGTCTTTTATACAAAATTTTGTATACAAAGTTTGTATATACAAAAAATAATTTGTACACAGAATTGTATCTTTAGAGACTTAACACTGTCAGCATAAAATTCCTAATTTCTTAAAAGAAGGAAGAAAAAAACAACTTTCAGTAGTGCACAAAATGCTGTCAAATTCCCAAGGTTGTGGTGAGGATCAAAATAAGATGTACAAAAAAGCCTTGTTTTGTGAACTTCCAGTCAAATCCAATAATACCTAACAGGGGTAAATTTTTGCTTTTATTTCCTGCCTGAAAATGGGCATAACTTCCACCTGCATGTTGATGTAAAACCCAGAGAGACAATATGTTATCAATCACCTTTAAAAGACAAACGGGGAGCAGGAAGTATTGAGAGAGAGAGAGAAAAAAAAAAAAAAACCCTACCATTACAAGTCAAGGTCAGTGAGGAAGGATTAAGGACTTCTACTCAAGCTTCCTGCTAAAGACACCAATTGTAACTATGCTTCAATTTTAAGCCATCTACCTTTTGAACTAGATTCCATTTACATTATTCTACAAAGAGGAGGAAATGAAAAGTACTGATATGCTGGAATACCTGAAGAGGGTCAGTTACTATGACAAGTGACTAGCTTCTCTTCCAGTTTAGATCTCTTTTGAAAGCTTTGGAAGAAAACAGCATTCATTGACAAATCATTTTTTTTTTTAATTCTGTAATTTCATATTTAAAAGCACTAAAGACAAAATTTTAGTTACCTATCCAGACAAGCGGTCCTGGAATATGTTATTATATTAAGTTACAGCCGGGTCTTAGTAAGAAAGCAAGAAAAAGATTTGCTGCTGACTTCTAAACCATGGTAGCACGGGGTGGTAGCATGGTAGCACAGGGTAGGATAGGGACAACCTGGATAAATTAATTCCTCAGGTAATTATTATTTAAGACAAATGTTGGATTAATTCAAACTCCTCCCTCCCCTTACAACAGAAAAAAAAAAATCATGTAAGATCCACTCTCCCTCCTCCTAGTCATTTTCTAACAAAAAATGCTAACAAGCAGATAGATGTCCAGTTAAAAAAAAAAAAAAAAAAAAGTAAAGCAAACTGATTTATCAGCACTAGAAGTGGTTCTCTTTTTTTCAGTAATTCTGATCGCAAACCATCAAACTATGAATTTAGCTTCCCAAAAGGCTTTTTACATTACACCCTCCAAAAAACCTCCTACCTTGACTTAAATTTTTCTAAATCAGATGTCTTATACTAAGCTGTACTCGCAACGCTTGCTGGACAAGAAGTTAAAGAAATTGACAACTATTACATTAAAATTGCAAAATGCTGATATCGAACAACTTTCGATTCAAATTCACTGCGATTCCAGGCGTTTGTGGAAGACAACTTCCTTTTTCTCCCCTGCGGGTCCCCCCGGCCCTTCCGCGAGCCCAGGTCCCCGCCCGGGCCTGCGGTGACATCCCAGGACCCATCTACTGACGTCACAGACACGCGGACCCACAGCTCTATGACTTCATCGCGGACTGGTGACGAACCGCAGTCGGCTTGCGCCAGCCCAGAGGCTGGGGAAGCGTCCGAGCCTCCGTCCCGCCTCGTCGCCAAGGAAGGTTAAGGACAAGCGCCAGCTCACCTGCGCTGGGGCAGGGAAGGGCAGAGTGGCCGAGCGCGACAGGGGCGAGGCGACCCAAGTCCAAAGGCTGACTTCCTCACCGCCCGAGGTCCCGTAGGTGGGAGCGCCGGTCCGGTGCCCGCTCACGGCCTGTGATCTCCTCGGCTTCAGCCGGGACCAGGGACCCCACTCCCTACCCGCCCGACCCTCCGTGGCCCGCGGGGGCGCTCAGAGCCCGGGCCGTGCGCGCGGGGAGGGCAGCCCCAGAGGAGGCGCAGGCAGCCGGGTCCCTGCCCCGGACCCGCGGGCGGCGCCTCCGCCCCCACCCCCACCCCCACCCCCACCCCCGCCCGCCCGGCGCCCCGGGAGCGCAAGCAGGCGGCGGGAGGGGGCGGGGAGCGGCCACGGTGGCCGCCGCCGGACCCCAGCCGCGCGGCCCTTGCGCCACGCCCCACCCCGGCCCGGACTCACCTGCGCTCCTGCCCCGGCCACGGCCTGGACCGGGGCTGCACCAGCCCGATGCAGCGGTGGCGGCGGCAGCGGTGGCGGGAGGCCTGGCTCGCTCCCCACCGCTGAGGCTGACCGAGCACCCAGCACGGCGCGGCGGCGCCCAACGCTCGCCCCGAAACCCATTTGTTTGGCTAAAACGGAGTGACGTCACGCGCCGGCCCAATCGACGGTTGACCGGGGGAGGGGCCACGGAACCAGGGTGTCACGGCGCCCCCTGCCGGCCACTGGGGGCGGGAAGGGGGAAAGTGAAAAGGGAGACCTGCATGACGCGTCTGCAGCCCCCAAGTGGTAGAAAATAAAAGTTTGAGCACTACTGTGGGGAATCAAACCCCCTAGGCCAGCCAGAAGGGTAGTGATGCCAGGGTTCAGTCAGCAGACATGTCAAGTTTATGAATATTCGTGGGTAGACTTGAAGCTATAAATGGTCTCAGATACTATTAGATAACCTAGTAGACCTGGATCCCCATCTTGGTTCTGCTGCTAGCTTGGAAGGCTGGGGTTCAAGTTTCAATTTGTGAAATGACGAAATTGGAAGGGTCCCTTCTGACTCTCTTTCCCATGCAAATCATGGCAGGGATACCTGTCAGAAAGTAGATAAACGTCGAGGTTGACACCAAACTGTTAAAGTCTGTAGAAGCTTAAGGACTGGTTAATGATGGACATAAATTTTTAATACTTTACATTCAAATCAGAGGGTCAGTGAGGAACTTTTGATCCCCAACCTTTAAACTTATTGTTTTCATTGTGAAAGTAATATTAACCACATTGAAAAACATGAGGACAATGTATTTTCTTTTAGACCTTTTGCCCCACCACATATATTTTACTACACTGTGTAATAGTAGTTGTATGCGATATTGCATCCTCTTTTCACTTTTATAAGCATTTCTCATATTTCTACATAAGCTTCATAACCAGTTTAACAGCTGCATAAAAATACATTAAGTGGACATAAAATTTACTGCATTAATTCTCTAGTTTTGGACATAAATTGTTTCCTTCACTTTTTGCCATTATAAAGAAATCATAGAACATCTTCATGAATGTAGATTTTTAAAGACACCCAAAAGTGAAATTACTAGGTGAAAAAGACTATCAACACTTTCACAGTTACTAACACAAACTGCCAAATTATTTTTTAAAAGTTGTACCAAGTTACACTTAAACCAGCAACTTTGATTTTAGCCAGTCCTTAACAAAAGTGCTTTTGTCCAATTATAAAACTACTCTTGTAAAATGTATGTGTAAAATCTTAAATATTAAAACATAAAAACAAAATAAATATAAATATTTCCCATAATCTCATCACCAAGAAATAACCACTTAATATCTCCATCTAGACCTTTATCTATACACATATTTTTAATAAAAATTGGAGAGGGGAAGGCCAGGCACGGTGGCTCACATCGCAAAAAGAAAAAAAAAATTAAGGAGGGGTGTTATGTGGTATACCTTGGCATCAAACTGTATGTCTGATTTAATATATGATCAATATTAGCTCAATATATCATGATCATTTGAAGCTTCTTTATGTCATAGTTGGCTCAAAATTGTAAAACTTCAATCTATCCTTTCAGATTCATCTTAAACACTGTCTTTCTTAAAACCTCTTGATTCCGTCTGGGCATGCTGGCTCACGCCTGTAATCCCAGCACTTTGGGAGGCCGAGGCAGGCAGATCACTTGAGGTGAGGAGATCAAGACCAGCCTTGCCAACATGGTGAAACCCTATCTCTACTAAAAATACAAAAGTTAACCCAGTGTGGTAGTGCACGCCTATAGTCCCAGCTACTTGGGAGGCTGAGACACTTGAGGTCAGAAGATCAAGACCAGCCTTGCCAACATGGTGAAACCCTATCTCTACTAAAAATACAAAAATTAGCCCAGCGTGGTAGTGCACGCCTGTAGTCCCAGCTACTTGGGAGGCTGAGGCAGAATTGCTTGAACCTGGGAGGCGGAGGTTGCAGTGAGCTGAGACCACACCACTGTACTCCCACCTGGGCAACAAGGGTGAGACTCCATCTAAAAAACAAACAAACAAACTTGATTCCTGTTGATTAGAGGAATCAAAAAGTTGATTCCTCTAATTTTTTCTCTTCCTTTATGGCCCTTATATTACTCCACACACATCTTCCATATGTGTATTTAATAGCCCCGCTAGATTCTAAATTGCTAGGGGAAAGATTATATCCTAGTATTCACTAAAGAGTATTGCACTTAACATTGCTTAAATGTTTAATGAATAATTACAACCATATTAGTGATGTACACTCTTCTCATGACAGTAGATGAGTATGATGTCTGTTTTATAATGGTATTGGCCAGGCCCAGGGGCTTGAGGCTACAGTTAGCAGAGATCACACCACTGCACTCCAGCCTGGGCAACAGAAAGAGACCCTGTCTCAAAATATATATATAATGCACATATATATGCATATATATATATATGTCTTTACTGCAGTGTGTTAGTATCCAACATTACATTTATGATGTTATTACATTTATGATGTATCATCCGGACATTGTTTTAAGTACTTTGCATACTTTGTTTCATTTAATCAGAAAAACACCTCTGTGAGGTAAGGACTATTGTTATTTCAGAAGAGGAGAGTGGGGCTTAAAGCATTAAGCTGTTTGGCCCAGGGTATAGAGTGAAACTTAGCAAAGATTCCAGAGCCCTGACCATGTCACTATATTGTTATTAGGAGTTTCAAATGGGTCAAAGACATTGAAACTGCAAAGCATAATGCAGATATGATTGAACTGAAATGACAGTGGTTTCCATATGAATAGCACATCATTGTCAAAAGTTCCATCAGAGTTCATGTGTTCTAGAGCAGTGCTTCTCAAACAATTTGTAGTTAGATTAGTTTTGTTGTCATTTTGCTTTGTTTCTAAATATTTAGTACACTGTGAACTGATTGTTTTGTAAAATGTCATAAAACTGAAAACCACTATAAAAATGAAATTAATTTTCAAAAACATAATGAAAGCCCAAACTATTAATTATTATATTTTTTCATCTTTTTCTTGAGATGGGATCTCACTATGTTGCCTAGGGTGGTCTCAAACTCATGGCCTTAAGCAATCCTCCTTTGCCAACCTCCCAAGTAGCTGGGATTACAGGAGTGAGCCACCATGCCTAGCCTATGAATTATTGATTACTGAAGTCCACAGACATAAAATTATTCCATCAAATTGCTAGTAAAGTTTCTAAAATCTTAATCTCAATTTCGCTTCTTGTCTCAGATTGGCCAGTGGACCACACTTTGAATAGCCCCAGTCTAGGAGAAAGAACTAGGAGAGAGTGTACCCATGTTAGGCAAGACCTTCCCTTGATTCTGTTTCTCCATTTGTATAATAGCAGTGGTCTCCTAGAAGCAAAGTCAGAAGAGCCAGTATAGTTTATCAACCCACAGGCCCTGTGGTAGGTCCTCAGGAAGGTGCTCCCCAGGTGGGCATGGGATGGCACACTGAGGCCATGGGACTGGTAAGAGCAGAAAGAAGAACAAGACTGAGGTGGCACAGCAGCAGAAAAGTTCTAAATGTATATAGCATATATAAATTAGGTTATTCCATTAGTAATTAAAACTTAGTTGTCTCAAGCCAGCAAACATCATATTAAATTAAAACTCAGTGCAAGGGGCTTGTCTTGTATAGACTTGGTTTCATTTCTGTTCTCTGCTCAGAAAAAAACAAAAAACAAAAACTAAGAACTTACTGTTTATTCCTCAATGAGCTTACTCCAACCTCCAAAGAAAAGCACCCACTGCTATGGTTTGAACGTGTCCCCCAAAGTTTATGTGTTAGAAACTTAATCCTCAATGCAACAGTGTTAAGAGGCGGGGCCTTTAAGAAGCAATTAGGTCATGAGGGCTCCGGCCTCATGAATGGATTAATGCTATTATCAAGGGAGTGGATTACTTATCAAGAGAGTGAGTTACTATAAAAGCAAGCTTGGTCGTCTCTATCTCTTGCTCTGTCAGGTGTTCTCTTGCTCTTCCACCTTATACCGTGGGATGACGTAGCAAGAAGCCCCTCAGGAGATATGAACCCCTTGACGTTGGACTTCCCAGCCTCCAGAACTGTAAGAAATGGATCTCTGTTCTTTATACATGACCCAGTCTCAAGTGCTCTGTTATAGTAGCACAAAACCGACTAGGACACCCACCATTTCATCTTCTCCCTCTCACCCCCAGCCCCTCCTTATCAAACTTACTTCCCCCACTGCTGGAGAAAGGAAACCAAGACGCAGTCTCCATTAGACTTTGCATCTAGACCCATCTTTGCTGCAGAACCTAGGCCACTGGGCATGATAATGCCTTTCCCTACCTACTTGACGGTGTTATTATAAAGACCTAATAAGAAAAGAGAAGCAAAAGTGCTTTTAAAAGTTTCAACTTTGCAAAGGTAAAGCATGCACTTAAAAATATGCCTGGAATGTGGCTGTTGGAGCATGTTTCAAGCCCTGAGCTTATGCCCAGGTTTATGCATGTGTGAAGCTCATTGGTGATGATGGGGGGATGGGCAGGAGCTACTCAGCCGTGATAATATAAATATTATCCACAATGAATAGAACAACTCAGGAAAAATTAGAAGACCAAGGCAGCAGACTGTCTAACAGATATGGGTATATCTTATAATTAAGATGTGGATGGTGACATAAAGTTGAATAAGTATTAAAACTAGGAAATCATAGTTATAATCCTTCTTTTTGGATCTTGTGCCCCTGTGAAAATCTGATAAGAGCTAAAAACCAAGAGTCTCTTTGGAGACTTTTGGCGGAAGTAAAAAAAGCACACCCTGATATACACACACAGTTTCGAAGATAATTTTAATTGTCTTAAAAAGTCCCTTAGATCAACTTGCCTTATAGTGATCTGCACTCCCATGGGGAGTGTAAGAGACATGTAGAGCAAGGACAGCCCTTCTAGTAAAATGGATGGGAAACAAATCAAGGTCCCAGATCCCCCTATCCCCACGGTATTGCCCTGAGAACATTCAGAAGATGGTTTCTACACTATCAATACAGCGAGCCACACAATTTCCATAGGTATCTTTTTTTTTTTTTTTTTTTTTTTGAGACAGGATTTTGCTCTGTCGCTAAGGCTAGCAGTGGCACCA